AGGGGTTTTAGCGTTGTCATCCTCGAAAATTTTGATTCGTCATGTGAAATAAGCGGGGGAAGGGCATTCCAAGTGCTCGATTATTCATTTCCTTTGTATGTCTGGGAGGGCAGGCGTTATGGAGCAAAGCTTACGCCGCGTTCCCCTGCGGTATATCCTGAGGGCCATTTGCGTCGCGTCGCTTTTAATTGCGCTAAAGTAGCGCTGCTCCTGCCAGCGGATTGAGCCATTCTCTATTACCACGACCTGATATGTTGAAACTGTATAAATGCAATAAGGACAACAAAGAAGACGGCAATTTAGAAAATTAAAAAAATAAATTTTTAGGGATGATTCAAATGCTGAATCTGAGATGATCCAATGCTTAATTTGAGTTAAAAATGTTCAAAAGAAAAAGAGCACGAGAATTAGTAGAGAAAAGGGACAGAAATTTTCCGCCATGAGTTTCCAAGAGAAATTAACTTACTCATCTTTTATTTTCTCTTGGCTTGCTTTGCAGGCTTTTCCTCGTCATACTCTACATTTGATTCGCCCTTGAAATGTGCTTATCATTCACATTTTGATCTCTTTATCTATGGAGAGTGAGGAAAATGGGAAAATGGCTCAATTCGCTCGGTAGCGCTAGCTCCTCTGCGACTGCAATTAGGAGCGACGCAACGCAAAGGGCCCTAGGATATACCACAGGCAATTGCGGCGTAGCTTTGCTCCATAACGCGGCGCCGCCGTATGTCTGTATGTTAATATGAAAGGCCTTCCTGTGTGCCTCTTCGGACATTTCGATGAAGTAGAATTGATTCTGTTTACTATTCATGTAGGAAAAAAGATTAAATCATCAAAAATCAAATTCAGACCAAGTGCTGACCTCCAATTTTCCAAACACATCAGCCATTTTAGAGATGAATTTATTAGTTACAAATAACAGTCTTCCCTCGAATATGATTGAAAGCACTGAGGCTACCTTTCTTCTATGGTATTAGATGTAATTCAGGTAAATTTCAAGCGTATCCATGCTAAGCTGCACTGTGATGCAAACCTTTCTTCGGATTCCGTAGAGAGAAGCTTCAATGCTGAGTCAACATAAACGAGCTCTCGCGTCTTTGCGAATATTTCATGAAAGCAAATAGACTCCTCTTCTGTTCAAAGTTTCGTTACAGCGTTGTCGATTGGAGTTTACAGCACAAATTATTTACAGATATTGTCGTAGCCAGACCTATGTAACTCGTAGTTCGCTCTAATTAACTGTGCGATGATGATACACCTGCGACTTGCTGACGCCATAGCATATAACTCGGAACTCCAAAAAGACTAGCGGAGCGAACAATTACTGCAGCAAATTGCTTAGCTAACGACTATTCAGACTGTTTTTATGGTCAGACGGGAAACAAATTGTGGAAATTATTTATGATGAAATTATTACCTCTGTCGAACCTTGCTCCTTTGATTAGGCTTCTCCTTCACGATAGCCAAGCCGAGATGTGTCTTTCAATCTTGCCTTCAAGATTTATGGGTTTAAAGGATAAATGTATAATCCCGATTCGTATAGCCTTTTTCTTATCGATTTTCGATTCCACAAACTTCTGGTTATTTGCTGTTTTTTTTCCATTTGCCAGTGAGTTCGTAAGGCAAAAATCATTATAAATGTTATCTACTTGTGACAAAACTCCTCCCCTTTTTCCTGGGAACTTCTTGAAGCTCGTATTCCTTCCTATTTTTCTGTACTAAATCGATTACAAAAATCTGGTATAACCTTCATTCAATGTTAAGTTTGCTAGTAACTGGCCTAAATGTAGCTGGCACAGGCTTGGGGGCTTGAATTGTAACCGCTTTGAAGTCTACAGTTGCTGGATTTGATAGAACTCAAATTGGAATCCGAGGAGATATTCCGAGGCAGAGCGTTCACTGTGTGCATCACGCTGTCCAGAACGTGAAGTCAGTCGGTTCCGCGTTGAGTTATGCAAGCTCCAATCAATTTTTTGAACTCTCGTTTTATCTCTTTCTATTTTATTACCTCAAACGTTTTCCTTGTACAAAACAATATTCGTGTATGAATCTTCTGGAAGCATTCTCCAAGGCGGATCTCAAAATCACGAGAACTCACTCTTCTATGCAATCAGAGGATATTCAAAATTTGAACTCGTCGATATAATCAAAATAAAAGAGAACTTTCTGAGAAAGGGATAAATATTTTGTCAACGTCATCAATTTGAAAATCATCTTTGAAACAGCTGTCAACCTTTTCTAAGCTAACGTTTAAATGCCTTTTTATTGCATTATGCGTATATGATGCACCCTCATAGGCGATCGACTAGTACCGTTATTATGCACTAATGAGAATGTTATTGGACTGAGTGGATTGAGTCAAAGTCAGAGTTCTAGGTTCATATAATATAGTCTGGCTCCATCGTAAGTTATAATGCCGTGGACGATATGTACCGACCGAGTTGGAGGTTCGCAGAATCTTTTTGGATGGGGATCTGATTCTTGGATAATTGAATTATTTGGATATTGCTTTCAATTTCCACACGAATCTAATTTTTGCGATTTGTCGAAAGCAGACATGTAGAGGTTGCTTTGCTCCATCGACTGATATGTTTCTCACTTTTTTGTATCCAAACCGCAATAGGAACCTGCATTGATTTTCGGACACCTAATACATCAAACAAGCTGTGCCGGCGCGATTGTGTAAATGCTTTTTCCGGCGAAAGGCACCGCTGCTGAGTCAGCTCAAACATTTAGCTCTCACGACATCGTGAATTTTTCATAAAGCAAACATCTTTCTCTGTTGTTCAAATGTTCCGTCTACGTTATCGATTCAGTTCTATATCACCTCTTTGTATTTATGTTGTAGTAGAACTCAAGCTTCAGCCAAACCTCAAGCGATTTCAGTCGCAACACGATTCGGCAATACTACAATTGTTTATCAGTCATCGTGCGCGCGTGCTAAATGCACAGATGAACGGCATTCTATAAATCTCTAAAAGTTGCGCAGACTTTGGATTTGCGGTCTGCCAGTGTTGAATTTGAATAGATCTGATAAATTGTCAGATTGCTGGCGGCTAAAATCGCGTGAGGTATAGCCAAGGCCTTACAGCAACTCGTAAATCTTTTGAATAGCTAAGGCTAATGATATAGTACGACGCTATGATAACAATTGACGTCACAGCATACACGCCCGATACTTTAGAATTTAGAATCTTTGTTGAACGAGCTTACATAGCAGACAATTACCGTGGAAGATTGCGTGATAAACGGCTAGACTGTTTTTGTGGTTAGAGGGAAAACATATTACTGAAATTATTCAAGCTAACAAGTACCCATGTTGCCGGGGCTTGCTATTAGTCGTGCTATTATGAAGAGTTCGCTTTCTTGTTCAAGTTGAAATATGGCTTTCGTTTCCGCCTTCAATTAACTTGATGCCTCAAGAGAGTAAATCTCTAAAAGCAGCAAAGTGCTCAAATCTTTCAAATTTATGCCCAAATAAACTTGATTTCTCAGTCTATGTTTCAAATGCATTGTTCATGAATAATTTGGGCAGCAGTATGTATGGCCTTCGTTGCCATTAGGGAAATCAATTCTTCTGATGCATTCTGATGCATGGAATGTTAGGAGTCCTGCTCAAAATTTTGAGGAACTGGAAATATTAAGTTTGAATATCCCCAAGCACAATGTTTCGTCGTTTCAAACTGTTATATCTTTGCATAATCTCTTCTTGATACATCAAAATTTGATTTTATTGTTCTTGATTTTTTGTTCATCCGATAGTTTTAGAGTGTTACTAATGAATTTATAAGACAAAACCGTTTTTAATAGTGCAAAATATAACTTTCCTTACCTTCTTCCAAAAATTTTTCAAGTCTATGCAAGTTGTTGCTTTTGTATGTATCGGACGAAAAAATTGAACGTCGGAGTATGACATTATGTCAAAGCTTAAGATTCTTTTTCACTTGCGTGTCATTTATGACATGGACAAGCTTCTTAGAAAACGATTATTTCCTGCTAAGTTGTCTTCGTTTAAGATTGTTCTAAGGAATTATCTACAGTCACACGATGATATTGTTACTAACACGGGTTTGAGTACTACTACCTGAATTTTAAGGTTGTGTTGACATACTTATTTGTTGTTTGTGTTGATTGTTTTATTATGATTTGCCATAGGGGCAACCCTGTATAATAAATGAAATGAAATGAAATTTAAAGCCAATAAACAGCACTAAGTTTCCTCATTTTTGGTGTTCTATTACCTTCTTTTTTATGGCTAAATATGAGTGTTTACTGTTTTTCATTATGCAAACTAAGCCTTACAAATTACATATATATATATTCTTTGACATTGGGGGTTCAAAATCAATACAACCACCCTTTGATCTTACTATATTCAAAATTTGAACTTAAATAAAACCGTAACACACGAGTTCCTGGCCTGCTCAATCGATGTCACGACCATTGTTGAAGCAGCTGTCAGTCTTTCCTTAGCCAACGTTCAAGCCGCAGTTTTATGTAAATACGTATGTAGTGCACCCTACGATCATATGTTATCGATTAGTACCGTTCTATGTTTGAACTAAACGGGTTGAATCAAAGGTAAAGTTCTAAGTTCATACTGTATAGTCTCTCGCCATCGTAGACTATAAATTCCTCCACCTGTTGTAAGTTTCGTGCACTTTGAACACTTGTACTTTCGTTCCACGAATGCTCAAATAATCCACGTGCAGTAAACTTGTTTCGAAGTACACTTTCCGTAGCCGTTGCCTCTCTTGACCATAAAGGACGATAACGCTTCTTCAGGGTTACTCATTGATATGAATGACCACTTGCATCAAAGTCATCAATGAGTCAAGGGAAAAACTCCCATCTGCATCATCGCTTTGTTCCCTCTGTCTTTCTAAACTCTATGCACCCACGAAGAGAACACTATATGTATTGTTTTCGAGACATTCACGCCCATTTCGTATTAGCGTTCCGTTGCCTAGCAAATCGGCTGCTTCAACAAGAGGGTTTTCAGAAGGAAAAATACGTGAGCGTCATGTCCGCACCACCTTATGAAGGAGCTCCTCCCTACCAGGTAAAAGAGGTTGGAAATTTTTTTAAATTTGATTTTTAGACATGTTTTCTCGGGGTTCTTGAGGATTTACTATTTGCTTTTCTTACAACGTTCAATTATTTAGCCTTATCCACCTCCACCACAATATGGTCAACCTGCCTACAACCAGCAACCTGGCTTCGCCTATCCACCCGGTCAAATTAACCAAGGTTATCCTCCGCAACCTTATCCAAACGCAGTACAACAAAATTATGGTCCACAACCTGGCTATGGCTCACCGTATGGACAATATCCACAGCAGTATCCCCAACAATACCCACAACAACCACAAGTCGTGTAAGTGAAGGCCTATGATTCATCAATCTTGGAAATATTGCTTAGGTTTAGATGATTTTGGAGCATAAATACTTCCTTGGTAAATTTCGACCCAACCTAGCGATAGCAAATTAGTTTGAAGAACAAAGTACAAATGTTTTCACTTTCTTGATATGTTTAACTCGACGACCCTCAATCTCCTTTTGTCCCCACAAAACATCGAGTAATTGTATTGAGATGGTGCAAAAGTTCTTGCTAATCCAAAAAGGAATTTAAATTTTCAAGTACGAGACGTGAATTCATGACTTTGTGTCGAAAAATAGAAGATGGATGTCTATAGTTCAGATGTCTATCTTGAAATCAGCGTTTTAAAATAGACATCTGAACTCAACTTTCCATTGGCTAACCTTGAGAAACAAGCTTCTATAAAGGCTCTTCAAATTTCGTGGTTTTGAGTTTGGTCGTAAAAATTCCCAGAGTGCAATTAGCTAGGGAAAAGAAATTTTTGAAAATTCTTTTACTGGTAGTGGTTCACACATCTTATGGCATGTTTTGATCTTGCACAAAAATGCAATTACAGTTTGTGAATAATGTCATTATGCGAGAAAATTCCCCTCAGTTCTATACTTTCTCGGCAAAAGCACTGCTTGACGCTCAGAAGAAGGCCGCAGTCCATTGTCCATTAAATTTCTGGTCTGTGTTTAGATGAATAAATACGGTGATAAGAGGCTTTTTCACCCAAGATGACATCAAGAATTTCTCATTTCTACATTTTTATGCAAGATTGAAGTCTCCACTTGAATTATGGACTACAGCTATAAGAAAGGATTTTTGTTAGTCTTCTGATAGCACCATGATATTCTTTAAGACCAAACTCAAAATCGCTTAATTGAACTGCCATTTTTGGAAACTTGTTTCTTCAGTGCTAGCCAACATAAAATGAGCTTATGGTTAGATGACTCTCGTGAGCACTAATTTCTTCTTTTTTTTTTGATAGGGAGCTATGAAATCAGCTGTAGGGTGAAATTTATTTTATAAAAATTTCTTTTGAGTTGCACAAGAAGTTTTGCACTAACTCAATATTATCAAATCAATGTATTTCTCAAAACCTGCTTGCAACAAAAACTATGTTATTCAAAAAAACGTTCCTTTTCGATTAAGGTGGCGTGGAAGGTGAGGAGATCAATTTGAGGTCAATTTTTCAGTTTAATCGCACCCCACGTCCTTTTAAATGCGAACACTCTTTTGCGAGAGATTAAATTGAAAAAAAAATGAAAGACAAACTTTTGTTATTAACTTGCCACTTTGGTGAGTCACTCAATGTGATTATCAAGTGCACGCTAGTGTTAATGCGAACTGTCTACTCATGTCCAATCATCAGTATCTCTCATTCTTTTTTTGCATATGTAGAGATATTTATGGTTGATTTGTAGATACTTGCAGGTGACTCACACGCGGCGACACTTAGTACTTTTATAGAAAACCCACTTCTCAAGTTTAGTTCACGCTTATTCCCGTAAACACATACATCGCGCAGAGGAGTGGAGTATATCTGGGGGAAGGGGGGGGGGGGAACGTGTCATATTTCGCTATGAACATCCTTATTCTTCTTTTCGTGCCTATGTTCTAAAGGTCCTCATATTTTGACATTTGAGTACAATGGATAGTAGAACTTTGCTACAAGCTGAGATTTCCATTATTTCGTGCGTGCCTTCTTACTGAGATAACAATATAAGTAGGTGAAGGTTCTAATTTGAAAAACGTTGAAATTTTGTACGAAGAGAGTCATTCGTCATGCTGACCACGAACATACCATTTATCTTTGTCGTTGGGTTAAGGTAAATTCACGCTTCGTTTTCTACCCATAAGAAAGAATTAGAATAATCTATGGCTCAATAATAACGGGCTAAGGGTTGTTTACGTCTCTTTGTCTGTGTGTCTGTGTGCACGTCTGTCTGTCACGAAATTCGTAGAGAGAGAGGGGTGGGGGAACGAAAGCCGCCAGGTCCAGCCGCCTCCGCGGACTGCTGGTCCTGGAACGACATGCAACAACGCTGCGAAAGGACCAGCTGTTCGCGAAAGGCGGCTGGACCTGGCGGCTTTCGTTCCCCCACCCGAGAGAGAGAGTTCCAGCAAAGGTCTTGAGCTAGAATTTTGGTCATAGCACCCTATCAGCATGTAGACAAACTGTGCAGAAGCACAAGCTGACCCGATAAGTGGAACCTGTGAGAACTGTGCGCAGGGCTCGGCACGAGCTGGCACCAGAAAATTTTCAAAACAAAGTCCCCTTTGACCCTCAACGATATCCCCTCTAAAAACCTGGAAAATTCCCCAAAATCCCCCCAAAAACGAAACGTCGACTAAAATAAGGTCGCCAATTTTTAACGTGTCTTCGCTCACAAAAACGAAACCCCCTTTGCTTTTTGCCCCAAAAACGATATCCAGCTTGCCCCGTGCCAGCTGGTGCCAGGCCTTGACTGTGCGCCAAACGGACTCACGCGACTTTTGGCGCACCAAACTGGGCCTGTAATTAGTCTTTTTCCAAAGTCGTGGATTTGTTGAACAAGTAAATCCGCAGACCTTGCACTCCGGCCCGAAAAGTGAGCGAAAGGTCTACTTTCACGCAAGATTGGAGCCAAAAAAATAATCGCGTAGATAATCGTATCAAGGTTTTATCTAAGAAACAAAGAAGATTTTTGCTTAGGGATGTAATTCACGGTTGTCATCATTCTTATGGCAACTATAAAGCCATCATTATAACTCCAGCAACTAATTCAAACTCGCATTTGATCTTTTGGGTAAAACTTTGGTCCCTTCGAAATCACCGGTTTACATGAAAAAGCTTTTGAAATGAGCAGTTGCTTAGAGTTCATTCGTGATGATAGGCATTGCGCGGTAAGTTTCAAAGCCATCCGCGACTCGAGGAAGGCATGTGGATAGTAGAACCAGTGCGAGCCTCTGCGAAGCAGAGGCTCGCACTGGTTGGTGATATAAATGTCATATAACAAGGATATGAGAGTTACAGCCTGATTCCAAGATTATATAACTGGTTACCGTATACCCACCGTAGCCTTATCACAAGTTTGTTATGCGAAATGAATTTTATCTTCTATTCGCTAGAAATGATCATACTACAACTTTTGATTCGCTAAATATAATAACGAGTCTAATCATATGATCAGCACGTGATTCTTTTTTTTTTTCAGAATGGTCGATCAAAACCGACGAAACTCAGGAGGCGATAGTGGCAAATGCTGTCTCGTTGCGTTGTTAGCCTGCTGTGCAGGATGTTGTCTCGCTGACTGTTGTGATTAGGAGCTGAACCTTGGAGAACATGGCTGCAATAATTAGGGCTTTGAAGGCAATGGGCAACTGGGGTATCTGGACTTCCAGTGAGGATAGTGATAAGGCCTCCAACAAGCCAGTTGCTTAGGCAGTAGCTCATACGATTCATTCACCGTAGTCGCTCACACGGATTGTTCCTGTCAGAATTACGGTAGTGCACGAAATTTTGCAACCAAAGAACGAATCATATGAGTTTCCGCTTAGGCAGTGACTTTTCATATATTTACCCATAAGAAGCCCAGATACTCAGATTTGCTCGACATCACCTTCGAACGTTCCCATTTTAAAAATTTATCACAAAAGTCAATTTTACTGATCTTACGAGTTTTGTTTTCGCTCTTGTTTATAATTGCAAGCTGTGAACCTTGTATAACTTGCTCATTTCCTGTTACCTACCTGCTTATGTTATCTTCTTGTGCAATTCTATGTAACATTCCAAATACCATGCCTTTACAACTCTTGGTTGTGACCTTTGTTTCATTTCTATTCCTAAATAATTACTTCTCTTTTCCTACATTACAATGACATGACTTATAAACAATTCTGTTACTCGTGAAGTTTCGAAGCACCGAAGATGAGGATAATGTTTTTGATAATGGCATGATTTAATTGGTCAAGTTATAATTTTTAATACGTATTATGTGGTAAAATTTTGATTTGCAAACACAAACCTATTAATTTTAATAATTTTTTCTTCTTCAGCAAAGCAATGAACTCAATGCAAACGCGCTAAGTGGTTTTCTGGAGGAACTATAGCAGTGAAACGTGTAGTCTAAGTTTACGCTGTTGTAACTCACAAATCACTTGTAGTTTTGTTTCCATTTGGGCCACTGAATGCTGCAGTCATCCCCAAAAAATTTATCTTAAACTCATAGTGGTTGCTACATATCCTTTCGTGTAGTGGAATTATCTAAAGGGCCGGGCATACTTCACGCGATTTAAGTCGCGACGCGATTTGGCAATTCGCCAGAAGTCTTCAGATCCAACATTACCAAACTGCACATGCATAGTGCGCATAACTTAGTGGATTGATAAAATGTTTTACTTTTGTACATTTAAAATGTGCTTACAGTGAGTTATGGACTGTTGAAATACTGCCAAATCGCGTCGCGACTGAAATCGCGTGAAGTATACCCGGCCCTTAACCAGCTATTTGAGGTTAGGATCTATTCCGCCTAACTAAAATGTGAAAACTCTGCGCCACTTACATGCTCACAATGTAGGAGAGGCTTTGCGCTATCATACCTTGTTACTGCGGTCAGAACATTTACAGGGTGTCCCAAAAGAATATGTACACTGTTAATCGTCAATAACTCGCTTGCTTCAATGTTTTCTGTCGGTATTTAGGTACCATTCTGTACAATTTGCTCCAAATCAGGATTTCGCTGTGGATCAAAACTTTCGTCCTACTGTACTTTTACAGTGCCTCATACACCACCATTGTGAAAGGGTGTTTAATAGAAAAATCAAAACAAAAATCTGGAAAATTGTGTAGCAGGGTTTCCAAGCATGCTGATTTCACTTCTCTTTTTGCAAGATTTCTGGGCTCTTCTAGAGGTGTAATCAAAATCTAGAAGAACACTTAAAGACAGTACCTCGGCAAAATGAGGCCCGCGAGAAAACGACGCCGCAGAGGAGAACACCCCTTGATGAAACCTATGGGCCACATCCGACCTCCCGAAGCACACCCTAACCCCCCAAAAATCTAACGCGAAGTACACAGCCGCCATCTCCGCTTCCACCCCTCTCTCCGGTAGAGAATTCGTTACTGTTTTTCTAAAATAACTTAGAAGGAAGCATGGTCGTGGTGTGCGAATTTCATTTCAAAAATCAGCGACTCTGATCAGTCCAGTATAAAAGAATTTGGCTTGTTTAGTTTCATATCTGAGGCGGAGTGCAGCTTTTAAGGTTCAAAATATTCTGCATACAGTGACAGAGGGAGCGGAAATTCGGTCCATAGTGTAAATCCAAGTTGAAGCCAGCTCTACAGGATGTTATCCAAAGGACATTGAAGCAGGAGTTACTTAAGATCAAAGTGTGCACATTTCTTTGGTGCACCCTTATCGTTGGTTGATGCATGACCAATGCATGTTACTTAACCTTGAGGGGCAGAAAAAGTGTAGAGATATCTATGACACATATTATTTGATAGAGTAAAGCAAGCCCTACAAGATGGCGTCCAAACAAACTTAGAAAGTTTGATAAACGGAAAGTTAAGAAAAATCTGAAAATTTTCACATGCTCATAAATGGATTTCTGTTCAGAAAGCTCCCCTCCAACTTGCTCAAGAAAACTTCTGTCGCATAGCTATACATACTATGCACTTGCTGTCTTTTTTCCATGTCTAGAAACTGAGAAAATAAAATTCGGCATGTTTTAGCAAAATCAAAGTATATGCTAAACAAGTTGAAAGTTAGAGTATTTTGGAACGAAAAACAGATTTTTTGGTTTCCAAAATAATCTACACTTTCAAAGATTAGATCAAAGATCATGTAGATCGGATCTCTTGCGATTCTTCAAGTACTACCTTGAAGAGCTTGCTTTGCTCTATCCAATAATGTATTTTATGCACTTTTACATCTTCTTTGCTGCTTCAGGATAAGGAATATGCATTAATTCTGCATCTAATACTTCGAAAACAGCGAAATATGATTATTAGCTGCGTGCTACTGGCCATTTTGTTTTCGAGAATACTTGAAAGGCCTAAAACGCGGCGTTCAAATCTAAATCTCTTTTCTTTCTATATATTTTCCAGATGGTTAGTCCAGTTCAGTTGTTTAAATTAACCTCTAAACTCTTCCATTTTTCCTCAAATTGTGCCCAAAGTTTTAGCATACGTACACATGCTTTCACCTACGAAACTCAGCTGAGAAGAATACCGCACTGGATGTTCCTATCGGAGATTTCTAGGTGCGGTATGTACTGACCTTGCACGACCCTCACACTAAAAGACACGTTCCATCTCGTGTACCGTAACTCAAAGGGGTAAGGTAATGCTCTTCTACCATGGGTTCCATGGCGAGTTAAGTAGAGGTAATGTCGAAATTGTCCCTTGTGAGGAGGAGTCATTAGAAAAAGATAAATCTCGCAAGATTGCACAGAATTTTTCACGCGTTGTCGTAGTTGATAGCCTGATAACTACGACTCATCGAAAAGAACGAACTTTCCTTAACGGGTAGCATTTGCTGTACTCAAAACAACGATAAAAATACAGTGTTTGGAGCGACACAAATGTGATCCAATGTGTTCACTTACATGTTACCGATTAATACACCAGTGGCCGTATTCATCATTGATACCTTGAGGTAAATTCTACCTCCAGGTAGTTTTATCACTCATTATCAGCAAGTACCCGTATTCACAAAGTACCTTGAGGTAAATTCTCAATGTAATTTTGCTGATAATGAGTGATAAAACTACTTGGAGGTAGAATTTACCTCAAGGTATCAATGATGAATACGGCCACAGGAAAGCCCCCTTATACGTCATTCGATCCATCTTAGAATATTTTCGTCTACCGTCCTATTAGAGAAGTATAGGGGATTCCAATCTGAGAGTCATCGTCGGCTCGATTCGAGCCTCGCGAGCCACCTCGATCAGTCCACTGGACGCGTTCGCGAACGTGTAACGGGGCATTTTAGCTTGTCAGCCATGGTTACCAAAGGATACCGTATTTCGACGTCTCAAGCGTGGAAAAATACTAATCCACTGAATGCGAACGCGGCGAAAAACTCAAGCGAGTGGACTCGTGAGGACCAAGCCGCGCCGACCATGACACTCAGATTGAAATCTCCGTTATCTAATCTATGCTGTTGGGAGTCGTGTTTCAATCATGAGCAACGAATTCTCATAGGTCAGTGAGGGCTCTCCAACTTTGCGCTCTGTTTTACTCATTCCTGCGCCGATCCAAATGAGAAAGCAATCCATACATCATATGTGTTTACAAAATGGAACTTTGATATACTTAATGATAAAAGCAGCAAAAACAAACCAAATGTCATTTCATTCGGTGCGTTTACTTGATCATTATGCATTCTCCTTACGCTTACGGATATCCCTACTATGCCTCACCATATGACGATTTCTATGGGGCTCCGTACGGTTACGGCGGTTATGGCCCGGGACCATATGCATACTATCCGGAACCATATTACTATGGTGGTCCTCGGTGAGTTTGTTCGCGCAATAGGATTTGTAGGAAATTGTCACGCTCAGATTCATTTCTTTTAGAGAACTTCCTAAGCCACCTTGTTTCAGGAACGAGATCGTTGATAACTGTTGCCTGTGGTGCTTAGCCACGATGTTATGCTGTTGCTGCTGGCAAAACTTCGCACGCTGCTGAATCGGCTCTGTGGTTTCTTTCGCATCTGTATGCTCTTACACATTAAGTATGCTCAAAAGACAACAGTGAAATGGTACACAGCCACAGCAAATAAAACATGATGTTTATCTCTGCAAACATGATCGAAATCGTTAATACCAAGCCAACCAAGCCCACATTTCATGCATAGATTATTATCACAGACAAGTGATAAGCGTATAAGACACAATAACTTAAACAACGTATAGCAAATTTTTTAGTGTTACGGAATCTCAGATTTACACCTCAATCGCAGCTATCAGATAAGTTGTCTCTCTTTACAAAAATATCAACAGCAGAGGATGTCCGGAAGCGTAGAAACCGGTGTACGAATGAATGATGCAATAAAAAAGAAAGCTTATATTTGGCAAAAAAAAAATGTTTGTAACCCCGAGAAAAGCCTACAGTGGGGGTAAGAAATAAAGAAGCATCCTTCCAAAGACGGACCAAATTTGCAGAACACGGAAATAAATGCCATTTACCAGTCTTCAAAACCTTCCAATGCCTTCGATGTGGTTGACGCATTCTGTGGTTTAGCGATCACATTCGATCGTTGAGCTTTTCTTTCAGCCATTTCTTTACGCCGTGCCTCATTCCTTGCAGCCATATCAGCTCGACGGTTACCTAAAATCTGCACGCTGTCCTAACTCCAGAACTGAGAGACATCCGCTAAGCGGACCTTTACCCTTTGGGGTTCCCAAGCTAGACGTGGATGCTGGCTTGGCAAGCGATGCTGAACAATTCAGATCTCCAGATTATGGTCAGCTCTATGCAAACCGAACTTTTTAACACTCACACATGGTGTCGGCGCCCCAGTGTCCGCTGAGGAAGTCATCGTTGCCGAATGCATCCCAATCGGATTTTGGTGATGTTTTAGCTATAGAATACATTTAAAGCCAGGACTCATTCCCGCAAGTACGACATACCGGTCGAAGTTGGCGACAGTGTGTCCAAGTGTGGTGATGACGACGTAGTCGTTATGCCCAGCAAAGAGTCAATATCATTTGCTTGAAGCAGACGAAGTTTAAATAAAAACTAGCATTCAAGGAACTTTCACTTACAAGGATTTGTCTTCGGTTTTGTATGCGTTAGTTTTAACACACCCGACGACTTCTTCTCACCAAGATTGAGCTTTTTGGGTGTGACAGTTGCGCCTGCTTTGGGAGGTGCAGGTAGCTTCTGCACAAAGCCCAATAAAGCGAAATTAACCGTGATGACACCCTATCAAACCCACTGGAGCTTCCCATCCTATGTTCCAGTCATCTTCGACAGGTTTTGAAGCTGCTGAAGGTTCCAAAGCGTCCGCCCACTCGTCGGCTGAGCCAGATTCTAAATTGTATGATAATTAGGCTGATTGTGAAAAGGGAGCTAGCAAACCTAATTCGGACAGATCACCCCAACCGTCGAAATCTGACGTAGGTGTAGGATGGCTCGGTTCTTTGGACTGAGAAGCTGTAATTTGATAAAAGCAATAGCTGATTAATCCATTTGAGATAGTCTTTATATCTAATATGTACTATGAAAAGTACCAGTAGCGCCGTCAGCTACAGCAGGAGCTGTTGCGTTGGCATGTTCGCTATGATCTGCATTACTGGCAGCTGGTCGAACTTCAGGAGGTGGAGTACCTTTGTAGAACTTTCCAGAAAGCGATTTCAATGCCCAGCTGGCCCATTGTGGGACCTAAAATAGAGAGTTCAAGCTCATTCTCGTTGATAATAACAACTGCTGACCTTATCACTGTTTAATATGGACCGTCCTCCAGCCTTAACTTGAGCTTCAATTTCTGGAATGAGCTCCGGATGTTCGCTTGCTTTCTCTAGATTCTCCATGAAACCTTTGATGGCTTTGAAAGCCTGGTCACGAACCTAAAGGGGAAAAGGGTTTCAACACTGCAAGCCACGGTCTAATCACTTGCCTGTTTCTCAGGGTCACAAGTCAACGGTGCTAATGCCGGCAAAACCCTGTTGGCAATTTCGACCAGAGTATAAAACTGTTGGGTAGCTGAGAGAGCAAGTACTGCCGCCATTCTAGCCGGCGGAAAAGGATCCTACGCAAAATTCATTTGTGTAGATCAAAATAATTAAATGATAAATCATAATGACAAAATTCTGTACCTTCATTCCTCTAGTAAACGCGCTAAGCAATATCATTTGCCTTTTGGATGGGTCAAGGTAACTGCCAATTTTTCCTAAGCATATAGTGGTGTTCGTCCGTATACCACCGTGTTCATCGCCCCCTGAACGATCTTTTCTGCTGTGTAACATGCTGGAATAAACAGCATACCTTGTAACCTAGCTAAATATTTCATAAGCTCCACGTTAAGGTTATTGAAATTCAACTTTTCAGCTAAAGATACCATAGCCTTCACTGTACTCTCTCGTACAGCTGGCGATGTGTCAAGGAAACCAGAAGCAAGATTACTGAAACGTTGGCAGAATAGATAGGAAAAGATAAAAGTCATAAAAGTTACTCCAGTAAAAGCCAGTCACCTGAAAATCTTCTCATTTACTACTTGGGCTGATAGATGAGGAGCAAATTCGTCTATTCGTTCTAACAACTTCACTCGCGTAGTCCGATCGGGACTTCCAAACAACTGAATACTATTAGCTCATTCTTACACAACAGATAGAAAACTGTAATCAAAAAATGGTGCATATATGTAAACATAGGACTGAATCTTACGAAAAAAAGACAGAACATGTCTGCCGTAGAGTACTTACATAACATTAATAACATTAGATGATAATTATACATCAATTGAGTACAGAAAAATAACACGAAATAAATCAATCTTACCTTAACCAAGCACGGAACAACTCTTCGCTGATAATCATTCTCATCTAGCAAGCGCCCGAGTTTGAAAAGTGGAATGAGAATATTTGGGCCGGCATCGCCATATTCATATGTCTAAATGGACTACATTATTTTCAAGTTAAGCGACAGCAGTATCCACAGCAAAAAACCTGTATAATCTTTGGCAGGATTTTGTATTTGGCAATATCAGGCGGAAATATGTCGAGATTTTCACGCAAATGTGTGAAAAAAGGTTGCTTTTCGCTAGACTCTTTCAGTTGGAACTCCTCCAAAAATAATAAGGTATCCACAAACTTATTCTTGAAGTAGCCTCCTTTATGTCGAGCCTCTGCAAAAGGAACATCATAGAAAAGCGAGAAGCTTTGACATCGTTGCCATACCTTGAATAAGCTCAGCGACAGATGTTTTCGCAGCGCTAGGTGTAGCCATCTTTTTGTAGAGGTCATGCAGCCTTTGTGGGATCATCCCTGGGGCCTCTGGCTTGGTTACGCTTTCTCTGAATCCGTTGAAAACCTCCCAAAGCACAATCGCCAACTGGTTCAAGTCCGAGCGAGGCGAACTAGATGAGAAGCATCACATTCAACACTAAATATAGATTGTGGAACACCTAGAGAGCAAAGCACACACCTGAACTTAGTGACCCTATCGAAGCCGGATAACTTCCAGTCTCCACCAGCCGTAACATAGATGGATTTACGTACGTTTTCATGGCTCAAATTTGCCTCGTGCAGGAATTTCAAAGCATTCTTAAAAAATAACAATTCATGCTTTGCAAAAGTACCTCTCTGTTTTTTATCGCACTCGCAAGCTCTAAAAGTGGAACGCGCAACATCTCACGACCACGCTAACAAAATCTTCTACTTGTCTTGACTGACAAGAGAAGGTCAGTCGAAGTGGCCATTCCAAACAAGTTGCATACCATACCATTACCATAAATAAATAAATAAATAAATACCATTCGATAAGGCATAGAGCACTAACATCAAATCTGTCCTCCACATCTGCTGAACGCCTTTGCAGACTATGTTATTATGAGCAGTTTGACTGCGAAAAGATCGACAAAAATTGCGAAATCAAGCGCACCATTCCCCTTTGAGCTACCTTTTAAGGCACCGTCCACCCAAAGTGAGGATTCACGAGATTCAATGGCATACTAATGTGGGCCCCCACATTAGCCAACCCCCAAGTTTCGGGTGTATCCCATTACTTGTGACTGTCAATTATGCAGACGCCGCGCGCGACAGGCTGGCAGTGATCAGATCCGCAGAAAACTTGGTTAGCCCACTCGCAGGGCATACTGTTCCGTTATTTGTAAAGGTTTTCACATTTCCATATCAATTTTTACTGTTTAGAGGAAGTTTGGCCACAAAATTTGTAAAATAAAGAAAGATAGTGGAGGGAAGTATGGAAATTACTACATTCCTGATCACGAAATGTTTGCTTTCTGTTCACTAGAATAACGTGTCCCCTGAACATTTCCTTTGAAACATTTTCTTTGGCACTGCTGCCTCTCGCTCGGGTTACTGTAACACCGCGGTGCGACAAATTTCAATTGACACCCACAAGTAATGGGCGCCCCCCCCCCCCCCCCACTTCCACCCGTCCCGCTTTCTCCAAAATATGGTTAGGGATTCTCGACTTCATATTCGAAATCAGGGCCTTCAAAGCCCGGAAGCTACAAAAAAATGGAAGTCTAGAATTTGGGTGGACGGTGCCTTTAAAGGGGGAGACGGTCAAGAGGCGCGATTTCTCTGGCTGTCACCAATTCAAAACTCAAGTTTAGGGCTACGCAAGTCTTCAAAAAGCACAGACAAAATACATCGGCTTACTAGTCATCTAGATTTACCACTTGCTGAGTTTGAAAGCTTTCGCTGAAAATCCGACCAAAATAAATACAAAGTTGTTATTAATTGCATTTTTATGAGTTTTTGACCTTTAATATTTTCATTTTGAAACGCTTTTGAGATGGTAAGAATGGACAACTCGTGCAACCATCTGATATATCTCCCCTAAACTCTAAAATACTCCCAGAACCTCATAAAACACTAAATATATGCTATTTGCTGTCCAGCTGGTAATAAAAATCGCGCCTCTTGACATACACCCCTTTAAAGGCAGCGTCCAGGCAAATCTGGACCCATGGGAATTTTACGTGGAAAGTAATTTTGGGACCCTAACTAAGCCACTGCCTAACCAGCAGTTCAGATACTGCTCTAACGACAGATATTTCCCTCGAAACTGGACCCCAGGATCGTATTTCGCATGGACTCATGGTGCAACCCATCAGTTTCGCGCGATTCACGCGTTGCGCCATGAATCCATGCAAAGTACGATCCTGGGGTCCAGTTTTGAGGGGAATATCTCAGCCGTTAAAGCACTACCTGAGCTGCCGGTTAGGGGGTGTATGTCAAGAGGCGCGATTTTTATTGCCAGCTGAACATCAGATTCCACATTTTTAGGGTTTAATAACGCTCTAGAGGCCTTTCAAATTTCTGAAAAGGTATAGAAGATAGCTGCACAGGCTGTCTAATCTAATCATCTCGAAAAAGATCCAAAACATGAACTTTGGAGATCGAAAACCCATGAAAATGCAAATAATGGGAAATTCGTGAGTATTTCGCTCATTTTTGCAGCAAAAACCGTGAAACTTAGTAAATGGTAATTTCGAATAGCTAATAAGCTAAACCACTTTATCTGAGAATTTCTGAAAATTTGCGTAGCCCAGAAATGGACCTTTGAAGGCAGCGTCCAGGCAGATCTGGACTTATGGGGCTTTTACGTGGAAAGTACTTTTGGGGCCCTAACTAAGGCACTGCCCAAGCGGCAGTTCAGGTAGTGCTCTAATGGCTGAGATATTCCCCTCGAAACTGGCCCCCGCGAACGTATTCACATGGATTCATGGCAGTTTCGCGCCAGGATCCACGCTTTGCGCCATGAATCCATGCGAAACACGGTCGCGGGGTCCAGTTTCGATGGGAATATCTCAGCCATTAGAACACTACTTGAGCTGCCGCTTGGGCAGTGCCTTAGTTAGGGCCCCAAAAGTGCTTTCCAAGTAAAAGCCCCATAGGTCCAGGTCTGCCTGGACGCTGCCTTTAAGTTGGTGACAGCAAGAAAAAGCGTGCCTCTTGACCGTCTCCCCCGGTTAGGCAGTGGCTAAGTTAGGGTCCCAAAATTACTTTCCACGAAATCCCCATATGTCCAGTTTTGCATAAACGCTGCCTTTAAGTATGGGCCATATTAAGTGACCTAGCTGCATGTTGTAGTCCAACATTGAGCCGAGCATCTTCACATGTACGATTTCTTAGCAGAAAAATGGCCCTCATAGAACTTCGTCCACAAGTGCTCAGCAGATAAGAAATACAGATATAGAGTCAATGTTTTATGGTGCATCTAATGGTATGCAGATCTGTATTGGCCCTTCGATTTCTGACCATTCCTTCGTGAGTTATTTTAGTGTTCAGAAGAGATTCAAACATACTGGATATGGGGTTATGTCAAGAGGCGCGATTTTTATTGCCAGATGCACCAAGTAGCACATAGTAAGTTTTATGACTTTCTAAAAGTATTCAAATTTCAAAAGGAGATGTATCAGATAGTAGCATGGGTTGTTCAATTTCAATGCCCTGGAATCGGTTTGAAGCAACTATGAAGGTCAAAACATAAAAATGCAGTTGAGAACAAATTCGTAAATATTTCGGTCCATTTTCCAGCAAAGGCCACCAGACTCAGCAATTAGTATGTCAGACAGATAGTAAGCTAATGCAATTCATTTGGTACTTTTTGAGGACTCGCATCGCACTAAACTGAAGTTTTAAGCTAGTGACAGCCGGAGAAATCGCGCCTCTTAATCGTCTAACATATACAATTACTTGAGCAAAGATGGAAAAAATAAAAACAAGAACCATATGAACTCAATCAACTCACCATAACTCGGAAAAGTCCCCAGGACACAACAAATTCTTTCTGTTGCTCAGTAAGTTCTATATCCTTGAAGTAGTGCGATATAGGCATGCATTTCTCAGTTACTAGGTAGAAAGTGCTGTCTACCTGAAGCCAGAAACTTGTATCTCGAAAATGAAAAAAAAAACAGTGCAAAAAAGAAATAGGAATGACTTACCTCTATACTATCCTGATAAGTAAGAATATCGGGATGCCGCATGGTTCGCAACTTCTGCCCTTGTAATTTGAGCGTTGAATCATGTCCAGTTGACCAGAAAATGGTAGCCAACTCTTCCGGTTCAGCCTTGGCATGCTCTTTTCCCAAGGATGTTGAAGTTTGTGACAAGAAACTTCAAAAGCGTTACATTTATCGGAATTTACCTTTTTGAAGCTGTCACCGATGTAACATCCATTGAAAAATGTGCCAGCTCCCTGAGGGATATCGTAAGGGAACTGTGATCGAGGATCACGCGAGAAGAACGAAGACAATACAGAAGCCATTACATCAGGAGCTCCTGCAAAACTTCCCGACTAGGACAGGATGTGGAGGTACTAAAAGTGCGTTGGTCAATTCTTGTCTTGTCCCAAACGAAGAGTAATCCGTAAACCGCATATCTATTATATTGTAAATCGTCAGCAGCCACTTTAGATTTTACAGCGACCAGCCGCACATTAACAGGAAGCTTACTGCTTACGATTTAGCACTACTTTTGGTAACTATTTGTGGCAGAGTCACATTCATCGTAACATTAGGCGTATCTGATTTGACGTAAAGAATGCAAAAGCAATAAACATCAAGAGGCACGCAAATAGAAATGAACTTGGAGGAAGAATACCAGCAACAAAAGTTCGGAGAATGCAATGGAATATATACAGCTGGAAAGGTCGAACCAGTCTCAATATTGAGGTTTTCAAGGAAGTAAAGATGTTGAGCTGAGTTCCGGCAATTGGTGCCTCGATTTCAGTCAATTTGAAGCAGCTTGAAATATTTGTTTGAATTTATAAACTAAATAGAACGATAGTTAATGGGGCAAGCCAATGTCTGGCTCACTTTCTAAGAATTCAGTGGCTCGGCCACGTCAGCAGGTTTACAATAAAAACTCGAAGAACTACATAAGAAAATGGCAAACATTTCAATTCTTAATCTGCCTCTGAACAACTAATCCTTGAACAAAATCAAGAGAAAATTATGCATGAGAAAAAGGGGAGATGGGTGCAAACAACAACGTCTTTAACTAGGGATTAACAGGAACAATTGAGAAAAGACGGAGAAATCGATGATAATCTGGCACAACGGAATAAAGCAACGTCAGACACCTGCAATCATGATTAGCCAACTTCCCCTCCCTCAATACTCCCAGCATGTCAAAACAAACAAGGACCAGCTATGAGCAAATAAAATATCATCAAAATAAGATCAGGCTTGTCTTACGTTGCAGCTACTTCATCCAAATGGTAACCTGGCATTTCCCACACGCAAGCCCTTTTCCCCACTGTTCATGAAAAACGCTGATAATGAACCACAGCTTGTCAAAAATGGCTTGTTTTTATGAGATTGTAATTTATTATAGGGGAAGAGCAGATTTCAGCATAAGGTCCTGCAACGATGAAAACGCTTTTTGTGGTTGGCACGCGTCGCAGACCGCGTCATGATCGTCGCGATTATCGCTGCTGTCTCCTTCCTGCTGCGCACTGTCGAAGTTAAAAGCTCTTCCATTCTCTTTGCAGCATCTTCGTTTGAATCGTCTTCTTCTTTATTGGATACTTGTTATCATGTTTATGGCAAATCAGTGTTCAGATTTGCGTTCCAGGGCAGAAATGGACTGTAAGGTATATGTGGGAGGTCTTCCGAACGATGCTACATCGCAAGAGGTGAGTCACAGGTGCAGTTTTCTTATGTAGCTTAGCGGAGTGCTCAAATGAGTCTGTCCACATAATAACTATCTTGCGAAATGCTTTTAGATAGAAGACGCCTTTTATCGTTTCGGACGTATCCGCAAAGTTTGGGTCGCTCGCCGTCCGCCCGGTTTCGCATTCGTAGAATTCGAGGACAGCCGCGATGCAGAAGATGCTGTGAAGGCTCTAGACGGATCGTAAGTTAACTTCATCGTTCGCCATATCTCAGCTACATATAACCCAATACAATCATCTTTTCAAAGGAGAATCTGTGGTGTGCGTGCGCGCGTGGAGCTTTCCCATGGTCGCGGTCGCGGTGGCGGAGGAGGCGGTGGCTACGGCGGTCGTCGAAGCAGGTATGGGATATTCTTATGATTCGTCCCAATGTAGAAGTAAGTATAGAAATGACTAGCAACTCATATATTGTGCGTTCTAATATCTTGCGAGTTTTCATCATTTGTATCTTTTCGCTTGCGAAGTACTGAGTCCTCGTCCGAATTTCTAGAAGGTTCGGCAGTTTTTTGAACGTTTCCAACTTGCCCGTCATCATTCGGCCGTGAAGTCAGTGCAGTCAGAAATCGATTAGTGTAGCGCTCTCAAAAAGTTGGAGACTGGCTTAGTTTGTAGGCGCAGTTACTATTTTGCAAGTAGTGCATCTGAGAGTATCATGAAATACTTGGAGGCTGAGGTAGCATGCGGAACAAAGGTGAAAGATGCATTGAATGCAGTGGTCCAGGGAAGGAGTCGATTTTGTGATTCTTTTGCTTGAGCTTATTCGCTATGCTGAATACGAAAATTCACACTGGAGAGCCCAACGGCAAAAAGGGCTCCAGTGCAGGAGGGTTAGCTGCTGGGCGAGGTCTTCCACTCGCTGAAGTCATCTCCCAGCTTCAGAACGGTCTTCTCGCTTCCTATAGCCGCCCTAACATCGCCACCGGCCTAGTGCGAACGAATCGAGAGGGTCGCTTTGGAAGTTGGGAGGGTGACTTCACGGAGGGGAAGACCGTTCACTTACTGATTTTACGCTCTCAGTGGATTTTACGGGTTCAGCTAGGCAAATAGGCCCAGGCAATCTCAAAATCGACTGTTTGCCCGAATACTGCCTTTGAATCTCTCATAATGCGATTCAAAAAAAAAAAGCTTTGTTTTCGTATCATAAAACCGATATTTGGAGGTGGTTTGTGATGAGATTGTAACATTCAACAATAATAGGTCAGGTCCTTCTTGCTTTTATCTTTATGAGAGAAAACTGATTTTGCTGTTTGCATGCTATCTGAGCTCTACGCTCTAGCTCTAGCTCTATGTGTTACAGAAAAATAAAGTTCTGTAATGAGGTATTAGATGCGTGGGTTTTCTTAATGCACTTCTACATATAATTGAATTTACTTGTATTAAAATGACTTATACCACTTTAGCGGACTTCACTCGTCCGTCCATCGCTTCCCCTTCTCTCATCCATCTCTGCCCTTCACAACAGCAGCGCTTACATCAAAACCACGTCCATCTCTACACATCTCGCCTCGCTCTGTAAAAATACAGTGCATAAAATAGCACGCTCTGCGTGAGACTGAAAATCTGAATGTGTGTTGAATAAATACGTAAATGCGGCTGCACAATTCCTGAAAGTGTCGCTCAAGACAACATCGCGGCATCTGTACGGTAAGCTGGTCAGTTCGACCAGTCTACACATCAGCTGCGTCAGTCATCATATTGGTCAGTTATCCGCCGTCGAATGAATTCTTATATTCATGTCAAGCATTAAGTTTTATAATTTTTTAGTTACGAATACAGATCCCGTTCTCCCCGCCGTGATCGCGCGCGCTCTCGTAGCCGTGATCGCAGAAGTCGCTCGCGCTCCAGGTGAGTTGCTTCGACAGTTGTAGACTGCAAGCTTTGAAAGCTTTTATTATCCACATATTAACGTATGTTCATGAAATCACCATCAAATAAAGAAGGGTTTTAATTAAGGGTCTGCTGAATCTTGATGAGCTGATTCCAAGCCTATCTTCCATGTCTGTTGAGCTGTTCTTTGAGTGAAGTCATGAGCGTTTGAATGTCCGAATTTCGCAAACATTTAGTACCACATCTTCAAGAACTACTTGCTCAAAAACAGTCATGTGTTCGGTATATGTGTGCGTTCCTTGAGTCAGTGCACTCTAACCCATACCAGTTAGTCACTCCCAAGCTGATCAGCAAGTTACGCATCAAAACCCCACTAACTTCACACTTTGACCCATAGCTTCTTTCAGATAAGCGCTTAGCAGATATGGAAATAAGATTTGGAATCAGCTCATCAAGACGCACCTAATGATATGCATATTATTTCGGTTTACCACTGCGATCTGGTATTCTTCCTTCACTTGTGAGATAATACTAATAAGAAATATGTGTTTGTTGTCACAGTTCTTTTGAGACTGAGGGCTGCATTGAGAGATCATTTTATAGGTGTACGGAGTGTCAGGGTAAATTTAACCTTGCTCTATGCCTCATCAGGGTAGGTGTCTGCCAGTTACTCACTTTTTACAAAAGAAAAACATCGTTATTGCTCTAATAAATTTGGATAAGCATGTCGAATGCTTGGAAATTTGAGTGTTAGAGTGAGGAATGCTGGGCAACCCTTTCAACTATCATTAACAGATTCATGTCTTACAAAATGTCAAGAATTGTTGAACTAGTTTTTAAAGTTTTTAGGAGCCCTAACTATCGCAGCCGTTCGCCTCCAGATGAGGATCGCCGTTCGCGCAGCAGATCTCGCTCGCCTTCCCCGTGAAAGCACAATTTTTGCATGTTCCACCATATTGGCTATGTTTTGTATTATCATATAGAGCTATTTAGAAAGTAGCCAGTTATGCGGTTATATATCATATGTTTTGTTTCTCATATTCATCAATCTCCATCATTGTTACGTTGTATTTGTGCTCTCCGAAGTCATGTGAAACAGTGCGGTGGTTATTTGGTGTTCGTTTGTGTCCAATAAAAACTTCGATTCTCGTCTGCCAGTATTTCGGCTCTTAGACTTGCGAGGCGAGTTTGCGCACATATATTTTACGAATGCGCACCATACGCTAAGTCTCACTTTCACTCTGCTGCTGAGGTATTTTGTGTAATAAATTTGTAAGGGTACAAGATCTAGTCCGTGGAACCGCGTCACTAATAGTTTTCATCAGTGGCTTTCGCCCTTGAATTCTTCTGGTCGAAGGGATCATTCAGCTTGGTTTGCTGAACGATTTTCAGTTTGTTACATGCTATGATTTGCTTATCAAAGCCTACTCCACTGCCGCTGTGGAGATCATGAAAGAGGCAGGTCAGAAGATTTTCATCTTATAGATTTGCTCATCAGATTTATACTCGAATGCATATTGAATCGTTTTCATTGAGCGAATGAAGCAGGTGTTGAAGGAATTTCTGTCATTAACCTCTTGGTCTAATTTTCATGTGTCTTCTGTCAATCGCCACATCGCTTTTCATTTCGATGAAACACGATCTTGAACGACTGTGTGTTGTAAGTAATTAGCGATAGAATCAGTCATGAGCTTTTGATTTGTTGCATCCAGTCTTCTTCGATGATGCGATGCATTGAAGGGCAAAAGCGCATCTTGTTCTTTGTGTTAGAAATGAAATGTGCTCGGTATGTCCTTGGCACCAATTTTGGCCGGACTTTCATCTTTGGTTTCCTCCACTTTGTTTCTGTGAAAAAAAAACAGCTGTCAATTCTAGTTTGTCGTTCTTGAAGAACTAATACAGCGCTTCGTTTTTTTTTTGTGAGTGCATACTTTGGATTGATTCTGTAATCTCATTATTACGCGTTACTACATATGCGCAATAAAATTGCCTGGATATCATGATTTATATTAACTTATGAATATTTATATACTTTGATAGTCTCAAAGTAGGCGATGTTGAACAAAAATTGTCATCCGTTCCGTATTCATCTGCATGTTTTGTTCATCAGTCTGTGATTTTGTCTTGGTCGCTTACACCTACTGTTGAAATTAGAAATGCTTTCTTGTTGAACATCCATATCACTCACATATCTGTGGCTGTATCGCAGTATATCACTGTATCGACAAATCTGCGTGTTGGCGCAACCACATCCACAGGGCTTATCAACTGCAGAGTCGAGTGCACCACCATCTCCGCTCCCTCCACGGCCGCCTCGCCTGCACTATGCATCTCTTCCGCGAACATGCTCTCTTATCACTTTTACGCCACGAGCGTGAGAAAGGCGGAGCTTCAATCGCTTAGGCGTGCAGAAATGATTAGAGAGCATGTTTGCGAAAGAGGTGTAGAAGCGAGGCGAAGTGGCCACGGGGGAGCGGAGAGGCTGGTGCCTCCGACTCTGCAATTGATAGGGGGACGGTCAGGAGGTACATACGGTCGGCGCGATTTTTTCGCGAAGCGACGCCGCAACGCACTTCAACCAGTACAGTAGCAGCATTCTAGGTGTAACGTTACTTATGGCAACGAGTCATGTATCTGCCTCCACCCCCACCACCGTGTTTTTGCCGCCGGGAATCTCTGATAGTGGGGAGTTCTATGGGTTCCAAGACTTGGACGCGGCGTACCTCCTGACGTGCAGCCCAGTTGATAAGCCTGTGTGTGAAATTTTCGAGGGACTCCATCTCAGCCTGTATGTGAAATTTTCGAGGGACTCCATCTCAAAGCATCGGATTTGCATCTGCTTACAATTGATAACTCTGGCGTGTAATTTCGTAGCGAACAAAGAGTTTTTAATTTTTATGGGCGAGTCTGAAGATTTCCTTCTAGTAGTTAAATAACTTATAGGTTGAAGACACGTCCGTGCGGCTGGGAAACTGACTGACTGTTATTCTCACCAAAAATTTGTATTTTTTTCCTTTGAAGCATCGCAGTATATGTCAGCATGCTACGTCTAAGGTTTCCATGAAAATTGTTTCGGCTAGGAACGCTGATGACAAAAGAGTCAAACAGAATTACAAGCCAGTGGGACCGAAAAGAGTTGTGCGACTGCATTGAATGAATCAAAGTTTGGGCACGGAACCATGGTGAGATATATTATCATCCTTTCTTGAAAGTCTACTTTTGAGTGCATTATGAGGTCCAAGAAAATTAACACTTTTCTCTTTCCAAGAGTTTCTAGTGACATTTGCAAAAGCTGGGCTGTATAAGTAATAAGAGGTTTTAACGACGTCTGCAAAATGCTATTTTTCTACCGCAGTTATGATAGACTGAGAATAAGTGCTATGGTAGTATGAAAGTCTAAGTCTCATCCATGTGAATAAAGTTTCGACCATTGTGTACAGTCGTTCATGGTGATGTATAGGAGAACTGTCGTGCCATTCATCAAATTACCGTTTTTTGAGTCTTCACCATTGTTGCTTAACCACATAACTGAAATTTTATTAGAACTAAGACGAATATGATGATAGTGATTGATGATTTATGCGTCGTGTCATATCATCTGTCACCATTCTGAAATTTCTCCATAGACTTTGCTTCGTTGACGTCTTTGATGTCTGTCCCACGTGCTGGTGCTTTTTGCTTCAGCCGCGTCTGGCGTGGATCTAAACATCGCTGCAACCACGTGACCGCTTGTTTTTCCTCTTCTGCTGTAGTGATATCGATGTAGGAGGCGGGAGTTCTCTGAGCGCTTGACGCTCGACGTACTTGTGTTCTACATCTAACACTACTCACTGAAGGTGCACTTCTCGCGTATATTCTAGTTGGTATCAACTTGAGTTATATTCGAAAAATTGGCATCAAAACTTTTGTTTGTAGTATGTTTGTAGTACGACACCAAGAATTGGAAACTTGTCAGTTCTACTGCCTCGCCAAGTACCTTCTGTCTCTGTAACTTACCAGCTGATCGGCCACTTAGCTCATACTTCTTACATGACATGATGGATAACAGCTAGTGCTTGATAAGTCATGCGGATGCACCCAGCAAGTGCTTGAGTGTTAATCGCCCACTTGCTTGACCTTCGAAGATCGCATCAAATTCGCTCTTTCAGCTTGAAACTGATCACATGATACCATCTGTGTAATTTCTTGCTGTTATCTTTCTTCCATTCGAAGAGAAAATAGCTCTTGCAAAGACTTCCAGCTTCATCGCTTTGTCAAATCTGAGCTATTACACATCATCTATTCAGACAATCGCAAATGACTTCTGGGGAAAACTGAACATCTGAAATTTCCGGAGGGACACTCCTATTGGAGCTGCCAGGTATTGCGGGGCCCACCCACACGACCGTATAGGAGCGTCCGTTCCGAAAGTTTGAGAAATTTAGTTTTCCCCGGAAGTCACGATTGACTGAGATGTAGCCTGCGGCCTTTTCTCGCATATATGCTTGTGTTTTCGATTAATGAGGTAATTGCAACTACAGAATTTGTGTGGTTATATGATCTGGGTACAAATGTTTGACTTGAGGTCTCTGAAGTCGTATGAAATTCCAACATGAAATACAGCTCAAAATGCTACAAGAGATCCACTGTTAATTATCAGTGTTATCAAATGCCAAACACCTTCTGAAGACCAGGGCTCGGCACGAGCTGGCTTTCTGAAAAGGCAGAAAACGTCCTCCGTGACCCTAAACCATAAACGTAAAAAACCCTCAAAACACGAACGTTCACTAAAAAAATGTCTATGTTGTGTTTTTTCGGCCACAAAAACGATATCCCCTTTGCTTTTCACCCCAAAAACGATATCCGCCTTGCTCATAAACCACCTGTGCCGACTCTTGCTGAAGACTACGCGCACTTTTGGAATTTTAGTGCACAGCAGAATTACAAGTTTTTTTTATGAAACTTGCTAAAATCACGATTTGTAGAGTTTTCGGCTGCAGTGTTTGTCATTTTACCGCCATTTATCTATTGCCTAACTACAAAGAAAATTCTGAAAATGCAGGGCGCGGCTATTCCCGCACAAAGTAGATTTATGCTCCTGATTTGTTTCGGTTCGCTGTTCTGTAGTGAGAGTGATTGAAGGTCGAAGTGGAATAATTGAGGAGGCAAGGATTACTGGAACATTGTTCTAGTCAAGCTGTGAGAAAAGCTACCATAATTTATCATGTCTGCACTAGCTAACAACAAGTTCTTCCAACTCCCTCGCGCGCATTTCAGCTTAAAACAGTCCTCATGGCAAACACAGTTAACCACACCCAGTTGATTAAACTAAATTTTGTCAAGACGATTGTGGAACTTGCACCTTACCGTAGATCCACTAAATTATAGTGAATCACATGCCATTTATAGGAAAGGCTAGTCATGATAGCAGTTCATCCGTTTGTCCGCGGGTTTTCGAAACAAATAGTGAAATTTCGCTCGATTTCCATGTAAATCACTGTAGATCTTTTGAGAAGGCGTACCCAAGTTGCCCGTACTTGTAGTACTAACTTGGCTAAGTGCATGAGAAGATTTAGATGGTCTCTATTATTTTGATGCACTTTTCCGAACTAATGAGCTTGAGAATCCTTTCTTTTTTAGACACTTCTTCTTATACCTGTCGAGCTAATCCGAGCCCCTCACAGAGTTTTTTTTTGCGAAGCGTGCTTCGGATCGATTGAGAAAAACGCCGCGCTGACGCGATGATCACGTGGGTGCCGCTCCTTCAAAGATTGCGAAGTGGGTATTCCCGAATTTTTATTGATTTTGCGAACGTTGCAGCTTCTTCTCTCCCCCTTTTGCGCGCGCTCCGCCCCCTCATGTGTGCATTCTCAGTTTTTGATGCTCCTGCTGCCTTAGAACGTGATCAAGTGCAGCAATGACGCGCAAGCATGCTGGAGCGAGCTGATAGTGAGTGAAGGCAGTGTGTTTTGTGCGAGTTGTTGACGGTTGCCTGACGCCAGCGGCCGCTCGCTACCTCGCGAGACGGACGTTTTCTATTTTCCGCACCATTCACATCGCGTTAACGTTCATTCGTTCTTGTACTTCGTGTTGTGTAGTCGGCTCAACGTGCGTTTTTGCTGCGGGGAAGTTTTCAATTTCAGGGAGAGCTACAGCTCCACGAATGCACTATGAATCGTGAGGACATCGATAAAATCGCTGCATCGACTTGTATTATATTTCTTTCTGGTCTGGTATTGTTCCAGTCATGCCATCGCGCATCAACGATTTACTTCTTTGAGGTAAGAGTTCACGGGCAATTTTCTTGAAAAACTTCCTTGCTCTAAATCCCAGTCGCTTGTTCTGCTTCATCTGAATATACGCGATAACTCAAATATTTATTTTATATGAAAGAAGGATGGAGACCGCCGGTCACCAGCTTAGGGCAGCTCATCTAGAGTAGGTGGGCTGCCTCATTAGGGTGGAGTGTGGCAGCATTTAAGTGCGTGCTCGACAATTTATCGGTGGAAATGCTTCTAAATAGCCTCTCATGTTGTCTTTGATCATTCTTGCACATGTAAACTAACAATCTGAAGGGTTTCATCGGCTTATTGTCCATAAAAGGCAGTAAGACACGACTATCTGTTCACGATCTGCTTGACGTGTGTTATGATAAAAATTTGCAATCCTTGTTTACCGCCGTGGACATACATCTAGCAGCGAAAGCCGTCAATGTATCTATATAGATCACATAGGGTGACTGTATTCGCATATGGTGACTCTGCTACGGAAATCCACTATTGTGATTTCTATATGCAGTAATACTGAGATTGAGATCCAATTAGAGCACTTGAGATTGCAGCTCTTCTGGAAAAACTGATAGCATCACTCATTATAAGTCAAAGTGTGAGAAAAGAATCTCTCGTACCAATTCTGTTGCTGACGCTTGGTCGTTGAATTAGCTTCAGACGTCATTTTATAAATGCTATGAAAATTTGGTTTTACCGTTAGTGCTCTTCCACACCACATCTTCGTCGTTGTCGACAACGAATTCGCAACTCGGAGAACTTCCTGATTTTGTGGCACAAAAAATTATGCAACATTTGATATGAGTGCAATGAAGCGTGCAGAGTTGTTATCGTAATCGTTGAAAATCACGTATATACCGTCTTTCAAAATACACTGCGTGCTGCAATGTATCGAAAGCATTCTTTCAATGAAGAAATTTTTTTGTCAGTGACGAAAAAGCATTTGCGATCAAAAGGGAATAGCTTTTGTTGGCTTCAGAAGTGGAGTCGTCATGCACACTCGATAAACTGTAGAAGAAAAAACCCACTGCCTCTTTGCTCATAATAAGAAGTAGTGGATTTAGCTCACGTTCTTTGTTCTGGAAAAGTTCCGTAATGGAAGGAAAAGATTTACTCGCCTTCTTTGCAGCTACAAACGACAACAGTCATTTTTGTTGAACCAATACCGGCTCTTCTCTTACCCTTCGGTCTTTCAATCCTGTTATGGCTAGTTTACAAAGGAACTAAAAGGAGCGCAAGTTTGGAAGTAGAACGAAAAGCAATTATGGATAAACAAAAAGAAATTGAGGTTTGTTACCTTTCTTTATTTTTTATCATTTCCGTCATCATTTCTGTTTGTTCATTGGAAGTGATTGTATTGGTCATGTGGCGGTGACTAGTTTATCTTGTAACCGGTTTTATCACGAAGACGATTGAAGTGATTTTTTGTCAGCGATCGATGTTAGAGAGAAATACGAAGTGAAAAGGCGTAGGAAAAATAGGCATTATATGAGATTTCTTCTTCATTTGAATCAATAAAAGCAGTGCATATCACTGGGCGATTTTTTTCCTCGAGTTAATTAGTTTTAGGCGGCTTCATCTCCAGCATCACGGAAAACATCAAGGCAAGAAAGTCGAAGAGTTTCATTGACCGATGAGCAGACGTTCCGTCTCAAGCGTAAGTTCTGCTTCTCAAGTTCTCCAGTAAGTTTCGAAAGCACCTCCACTATTTTAATGCATATCGCCAAAGAGATTCGTTGTTTACCCTCTTCTATTCTGAAGTTGAAATAAATCCATTGATTGTATGCCAAGGTGAACGATAGCTGGAAGTAGGCATATTGTACTTCTGCGGTTGCCAATATGCCGCGCAGAAAGTCTTATTTTTTAAGCAGCATGATTTCCACTGGGTTGAAAAGTGTCGGGCAGTAACAATTAGGGCATACCGAGCTCCCAGCTATTTCCAAATTCCTAGATATCATCATAGCGTAAATATAGAACTCTAAAAATGTTTGACCTAGGCGACGCATATGGCTGGCACAAGCTATCGTTCATGTTGGCTGCCCCCCAAATCCATTAACTGGCCAGTTAACACGGTATAGTCCCCTTGTCTAGGTTTACTGTCGGACATTCAAGAGATGGACACAATCCACAGTCAGTTTGGAGCCCAGCCAGACAGCCGAGACTCACCAGCAGGTGGCCGGCTGAGTCGCGACTCAGCGTCTAGTACAGGAAGGCAGACACCTTCAGATGGGAATGAGGATGCACAAAAAACCGCCGAATCACAGCCGGAGAGGAAAGCGGCAGGAATATCACCGCGAAACAGCACTGAAGATTCATCAGGCGAGCATTCACCGTCAGTCGTGGGCAAGTCACGATTCACATGCACAAAGGTCGAGGAACCGAAAATCATCTTACCATCGACACATGGTGAATATGTGTACATGTTCAGAAGATTGTTCATGCGAGAACACTAGTAGCTAGTTTATTTAGTCTAAGACGTATTTTGCATGGAAACTATCAGTGTGAACTTTATGCTCCCTTTTTCATAGCAAATACAATACGCAACGCTTAGGCATTGCGCAGCGAATTTCAATCGAGCGGCAAATTTGAACTCTCAAAGATACGCAACGCTGCATAGGGTGCTTCGCTGCCATTGAGCTGATTAGAAAGGGAGCACATCGTTGACACAGACTGTACAGGGTGTTTGTGGTTTTGTGTAAAGTAATGCCTGCCGCTAACTGCCTACTAATATGTTTGTCATGCTTCCGGTCTCTGTAGAGGAAGAGGGTCTATTTTTTCAGTAACTATTGCTTAACAGTGCAAAGTATTACTGTTCTATGTTGACATTGGAATTTCGTGCATGCTAAGCCTAAGTGCGCATTTTAGTCCCTTGAGATGGTCTCTATAATATTTGTGCCTACTTTCAACGCGCGTCATTTTCACTTGCTTCTTTGCTAAAATTTTCTCTGTCACCTTGGACTGTACATATATTCAATTCATAGCACGCAAAGACTGCGGACATATCGGCGTCTCACTAATCGAGCGCTCTTTCGTTTTTCTCACCATCTGCTGCCTCTCTCATGCACTAACTATCTTGGCCGGACGCAGCGGGCCCATCTTTGCGTGTCATGAATCGTTTATACCTCATTTTCTATTTGAAACAAAATTGTTAGCAGTGCTTAACTTTTTTGCTTGATAGATAGGAACAGTTGGAGTAACTTAATTGTCTGATTATGAACAGTAGGTACTTCATCATATCGTCTTTCACTCGTTATTCTCACGTTCGCTCTAGTTCACAATCTTAGCGACAATAGTGCGACTCGAAAAACGGGTTTTTCATCTTCTTGGTGCGGTTTGAAAGTCTTAGGCCCCGGGCAGACTTCACGCGATTTGATCGTCGCGACTGAATCGCGACGAGACAACTGTTACAACATCATTCCATGCTGATCAACTTGCATTCTGTTGTGATACTTTTCCAGCCCGAAATTTTTGAATGTGAAATGAAAATGAATGGAAATCTTGGCAATTCAATCGCGACGATTAAGTCGCGTGAAGTCTGGCCGGGGCCTTATAGACGGTGTTAGCCATCTCTGGCAACTTACTTCTGTAAGCAAATTGCTTCATATTTGCTGTATAACAGCGTTGTTATCCACTTAGCTCCGCTTTAAAACTCTTGCACAAAACTGCGCATGTTCAGGCGCTGTTTTCGCATGAATTTTCTCTTCCGACATGGTTTTTTACTTGGCATGGACTATGATTGTATTATAATGGTTTGGCATGTCATGTGTGGATTTCCGATGTGCTTGAATAATGTGTGATACAAGACAATCTTCTTGTTTATAGACAGCCCGCATCGTGTGCAAACAGCTCCAGCTTCATTCAAACCGATTCTCAGGTCCAGAGGATCTTCGGAGTCCGAGCGAGGATTGCTGCCCAGGAAGATCAGCGGGCGTGAGTGCTATTACTTCTCGATAGTTTCCTTTTTTTCTTTTTGGTATGGCGTTGTAAAACGGTGATGCAAAGAAGGTTTTATTTTAGCTGCAACATTTTCCGGTGGCGTGCAAGCAATACCAGATGACTCTTACGGCTTGAGTCGAAGATCCTCAGTAAGCATGAGTAGACGCAGTTTTGCTGGAGCTGATGAGCTGCCAGATGACGACGACAGTGAGAGGGAGAGAAATGAAATCTATACACAGATTGGACAGGTAAGCCATTTCTATCTTTCACTTTTTGTTGGCATGGTTCCGAAATTCAGACAAATTTCTTCACCTACTCGTTGAGTGCGCTTAATCTGCTTCCGAAGAATAGACCCGGATTCCCAGAGCTGAAGTTGAATTTTTCTGATATCATGTCAGAATTGTTTTCCGTGCATCTCCCTGTTTGGGGATGTGTTGCATCTTTCTATATCGTGCTTCTGGAGCTATTTGGTGTGCACTTTGGTGAGTATAGCTTATCATTAAATTCTTTTCTGTTTACTGCTTGTTAATTCTAAGAGAGGAATCTTTAAAATCATCTACTTTACCTTGATCACTAAGTATCAATGTTTTTGATGAAAGTTCGTTTGCATCTGTCTATCAGCGCATGACGTATATGCTCTTCAATTTCTCTTTCATTGAAGTTTTAGTCTCACCAGAACTGCTTGTCGGAAAAGATTAGTAGTTCTAAGCCCGGCGGCTGCTTTTGTTTTTCTGTTTTCGTGGGTTTAGTCATTTATCAGCGAAGCAGGCGTCGGAGGTTTCTATGCCTGCACCGTCCACGTGATGAAGGAAGAAGATGTTAAGAGGGTTTCGATTGAATCATAATGACTGCAACATGTTTCTTGAAAGTAAACCATATGTCGTATTTATGTGCTTTGGCTCAGGAATATGAATGAGAGTAGATCGGAATGATCATATATGTACTAAGCTTACAAGGGAATGGTCAGATATCGAAGTGACTAATCTAGACAAGCTGCGTACCGTTAGATGCAGCATGAAGTGCTGACTCCAAATTTGTCTTCTTTATCTGCTTATCGCTTTCCTGGACAAAACTATAAGCCATTAAAGGCAGATATTTTGCTAAGAAATTATAGATGAAAGTGAAAATTTGGCCGTAAACAGCCAGACTCGACTTGATGCTGGGCCAAAACATGCAGCTAACTTATTTCAAACTCTCAAAGCCTAAAGCTGAGCTGAAATTGCAGCAATGTGCTCAATTTCACAGTTCTTATGTATGATTTTTACACAATAAAACTGCTTGTAGCTTCGTCCACAGAAGAGATAAGCAGATAATGAAGACAGATTCGAAGTCAGCGTTTCGTACTGCATCGATTGGTATACAGCTTGTTTGATTTGGCCACTTCGACTTCTGACCATTCCCTTGTTAGATAATTCTCTGAAGGAAATTTGCAATTTGTATACTTAGTTTTCGATCAGAATCTCCTTTGAATTCTAGCAATCGTATCAGTATACTCTAAAACGGTTGTTCCATCAGATTATGCATTACTATATTATGTGCGTTCAGCGTACTACTTTTATTATCATGAAGAAACGATGATCTACGCGGCCCTTGCGTTTTCTATCATTTTCGGATTATTCCACGAATTTTGTGGAGGATGGTTTACAAACGATATCCTTGCGTTTTCATCGATATACATAGCATGCTCAAGAATACAGGTAACAAAACTCATTACCTACAGGTATCTTTCGCTGAACAATGTGGCAATCTAGGCTGTGAGCTATCAGACGGGTGTAATACTACTTGTTGGAATGGCGTTGTTTGACCTGTTCTGGCTGTATGTTATAGATCTATTGAGTGAGTGTATAAATATTGTTTCATTGTTTTCTCAATTTTTTTCTCACTTCATCTCACTTAGTTACAGTCGAGTAGATTTTCCGCTAATATACTGTGCTTGCACTGGAGGTGAAATGCGGTAGAATTTGCGCGTGAACAAGTAGTTACGACAGTAATGTCAGCCTTTTGCGCGCGCAATTGGCCGGCGTCACGAGCGCAACTAATTGTTCACGCGCAAAATTTACCGCATTTCACCTCCGGTGCAAGCACCTATATTAAGCGGAAAATCTACTCAACTGTAATATCATAAGATGATTTTTTAGGCACTGTCACGCAGGAATCGCGGGCACCGCTAATGATTATGATCCCAAGAGATCATAAAGGAAATAAGCAGAGCCTTGCGATTGTTGACATTATCATACCAGGTGAGTCCAGCTTTCATAATTCTTTTCTGAAATATATACGACTATTCTGTTTAGGAATATTTCTTAATGTGGTTCAAAAGTACAGTTCTATGTTTGATCCGGGGCTATTCACTGTGACTTATGCTGCAGTTTTCGGTGCACTCACGTTGACGATGATTTTTGCAGTGTGGAGGTTAGTCTTGATTAATCGTTATGCACCTTTTTCGTGATATACGCTTAGTTTATTTCCTTACTGAAGTATGGGAGTCAAGAGTTAGCCAGATAAGGGGAGCGTAGAAATCTAAATCTCGGCCGTTATTTTGCTAAGAAATAGTGCATGCAATGCGCAAATTTGGCAGTACAGAGCCATGTTCGGCTTATTGCTGAGCCAAAACATGCAGCCAAGTTACTTTATATTCTTAAAGCCTAAAGGTGAGCTGAAAGTGCAATAATGTGCTCAATTTGGGGTTTTTATGTACAATTTTTTTCGCAATAAAACTGTTCTTATCTTTGTCCAGAAAGGCGCTAAGCAGTTGCGGATACAGATTCGAAATTGGCGTTGAATGCTGCATCGAATGATAGGCAAACCATTCCTTTATAAGATTCACAGTATGGGTGAATGGCCGATCGCTGCTCATTATTTGTGGCAACTTCTAGCATGCAGCGCATCATTAATAGGCTGCCTTTTTAAAAAAGTTTACAAAAACATCTGGAAAGTTGTGTACTATCCTAATATTATGATTACTGTTACCTTTCCAAATGTTGCCAAGGCTTTTCATATGATTAGTCGCATTGAGGAACATTAGAGATACTCACGGTGTATTTCGCAACTCATGATTAGAGCATTAGTGTAAAATGCAAATTTCTTTGGGGTCATCCGCTCAGGTGTAAGAGTTTTCAGGTTGCCTAGTTTGCTTTCTGAGGCGAAATAGGGCTTTCAGTACTTCAAAACTTTCTTCATAGTGTTTCCGTAATCCTTACAGTAATAAAGAACGATCGATGATTCCCTACTGCAAATCCAAGTTGAAGCCAGCTTTACAATATGATATGGCCGCGAAAGCGCATCATACAAGATCTTGAAGATCGTTTGATGCATTTTTGGACACCTTGCATATGCTATGAACTGAGTAACTTGCACGTTGTTAACAAATCTGGTTTTGTTTAGGCATAAAATCACCCCAGCACTTGTGTTGCCAGCAATTGTGGCCATAGTAGTATCCATGGGATTGAGCACACATCGACATGACCTTTGGCGATTTATGATCAAATACAAGCGACTGATGCCTACAAAAACTGCTTAGCTATTCCTCTTATTTCAATATGCTTGAATCTCCTACAATTATAAGCTGATCTTGGTTCCGTGCATCTGTATTCAATCTTATGAAAATTATATTGTCCTAGTATACTTAACTTGTTGAATTCCTAATCTTCCCTGTGGCATTTTGATTTATTTAGTCTTCTTCTTTACTGCTCTAATGCTCACTTTTATATTGTTTGCCTTCTTCTATCCATTTCTCCTCAATGCTTGCCGCATTCTTTGAATTCTCTATTTGCGTACAGGTGAGCTATGATGATGTTGACAAATTTAACTGGAAATGATCACAGTATGTAATATTTGATGAAGCGATCATTTTCAAAGTTGTAGACTCTAGAGAGATCTTTAGAGAGATCTTCTTTTTGTATTGTACAGCATTTTCAATAGTGATGTTATTACTTGTCTGTGATAACATTTTTAACAATATACAAATGGTTCTATGATTTGATAAACATATTTTTATATGTGCATCTACGTTTGTGGCAGTCAATTCAGCGCCGTTTGTCTTTTGAGGGAATCGGCAACGCGCTTTTTTGTGAGTGTAACTTCTTTCATCTAGATTCTAAAAAGGTTTTGAAGGTGAAATAGCACCTACATCTTTTCAGTGGATCAATATTCATTGACTTTAGATACTCAGTCAAACTTGTCTGTACACTTGATAAACATGTTTAAACCGCTTTTTTCTTGCGCCGACATGTGACGCGCTATAGAGCGAGAGAATAAATAGACAGTAAATGAGTATAAATGCTTTGAAGTCATGACTTCCACTTAATTTGGGAATTTTTTTGGTCGTGTTTGACTAACGACGCAATTTTCGCACGAGTGTCTATGCTTTTTTGACCTACTGTGAGTGACCTCACACGTTGACGACCCCGCCAATAGTCGTCGACGGGGCTATCGATCGCCTGCCTCCTCCCCCGTCATACCAGCTGGGTGAGTGTAGCCTCTCGCCGGAGGACCGGCCCGCCGCCCGTCACCGTCGGCTCAGTACGCGTCGCGGCTCAAAGGCGACGCGTGCACCCGTATACTCGTTTCATTAAGCATGAGAGGATTTTGCGCAACTATTCTAAGCTATCAGACGAAAAGTGTTTTTCAAACGTTGTTTCAGTGCGTAGATTTCGTTATGGCTCCGTTTGGCGGAGCAGTTCGCCAAACACTTTGCCTCGTGTGCTTTTGTGCAGATGGTAGACGCCAGACAATTGCTTCTATCACAACTATGGGTCAAACACTAAAATATGCCAGTAAAATATGAGCAGGCAAGGAGAGACCTATGCAGTAAAGATAGGCATGAGTCTATGCAGGCGAAAATTTTCCTCCATTTTTGATTGTCCGCTTCTTATTATTAGAGAGGATAGCACATGTATAAAAATAATGCAATCTGTTGCTGAGATCACGACTTTTTTTGCGCGGTCCGGATTAGACTCACTCGTACACCAAGAAGACAAGGCTTTATGGTTGGACAGGTTGGACAGATAGGATGTCAGTATGGCAATTTAGAGCCAGTGAGTCTGTCCACTCACATGCTTGTCCAGTCACGGGAAATATGGCATTAGCGGGATTCCAAATTTGTCCATAAGTTCATCAGCTTCAGTCCGAGGCAGAGTTCTGGCAGTAATACCAATCCAAAATTATTGATTTACATGTCGCTAAATGTGGTTTTGAGGCGCTACCTTCCCATCAAACGAGAGTATCGCATTCACTAAGTCACAGTAATCTCGCTATATCCGCTAGAATACCATTCGAGAAATTTTCGCAACAGACATCGCAACAAGGATGAACATCTACGATTTGTAGGCTTCACAATTCACGCTCATTGTCTGAGGATGACTAGTAAAGCGATGTGGAAATGTAGAGTCACTGTGCTGTTTAGCCTGTTCTCCCTGGTAGGATCACATGTTGTGCAGCCTCCTTTCCCGCACAAGTCTTGAATGGTGGAGTTTTATATAGCAATGTGCAAGCATTCCGCCTCTACGAGACTGGCGCTTTTCTAATATCCAGGCCTCAAATTTCAAAGCTGTGATTTTTGCTGGAACACAATAGATGGGCCATCTACCACACGTTGTTTACGAAATTTTTCCGACAACTTATTTTTTTCTTGCGTTGTGTGTCGGGGTCAAAACCACTGATTTGGCTTGGGTTGGTCTAAGAGGGTTATCTGGTATGCTAGATACAAACGGCATACTTATTTTTGCATAATGAGGCTTCTTCGTGGAATTCTGGAAGGTGTTCAGCATGAGGTTATAAATTTGCCGTGGACCTTGTCCTTTCCGGGCGGTGCCAGTGGTGCTAACTCTTTTTGCATATTTGCAACGCCAGCGCAAAAACGCGCTTCAATGATGAATTTCTGTGCGACGCGGACTGCGGCGCGTACTGAGCCGACGGTGACGGGCGGCGGGCCGGTCCTCCTCTCGCCGTTGTCGCTGCGTCGACGATCCACACTTGCCTGCGTATCGATCGCGTTCTTTAAAACAGGGATTTTTGGCGCTTTTCAAAATATTTAGGAAGTTTCGTATCTCTGTTCTTTAAAGTGTTTTGCTAGCTTCGGACTTTCATCACATGATTTTATATCTTGCATTTCGATGTCTCAAAAGAAAATACCGGTGGTTTTTTCTCAGATCATATCATATGGGATTATCTTCATGTTTGATTTACACCATCATATTTTCCCCTCAAGGTTTAGTGTGATTTTTTTTTACCTCTGGCAAAAGATTCTTTTTCTTCTCGCTATCACTCATATGTGCACAATTCAGGAGGAGCATTAAGAACTATGTATTTTCATGGATGCGGACGCTTTCAACTTTGTCGACTAAAAAAAAAGTCAATTAGATGCTAAGAGGACTGTTGTCTCAGTAGAACCCGCAAAGTGCGCGTTAAACAACTATAGTCGAAGTCATTTGCAGCTTGAAATGTGCACTGCACAACCCGCGTGTTTCACAACTGGTGTATTCAGCCTGATTTTTTTCTGCTCTTTTTGACCTCAAATAGGTAGCATGGAAATGACCATCTTTCATCACGACTTCTCGATATATCGCGATGCTTTATCACTAGACATGGGATTCATACCATGCAGTCTTTTAGACTGAGTTTCAGTAGCTTCTTTTATGAGTTCCTCGAATATGATGGTTTTGGAAAGGCTTGCTGCTGCTTACAAGGGGAGTTCGCTGGGTCGAAGCGGCGATTCAAGATGATGTACCCGAATGGAAGAACGTAAAACGCTGTTCTTAGATATACCTTCAATATCTGCGACGCGTTTCTCTAAGGGAGTCATGGGCTTTTTTTTGTACATATGATGAAAGTGAGATCTAGGAAGGAAATGACGACCTGTGCATAAACATGGCTGAAAAACACTCGAAAACGTTCGGATGCAATCGGATTAGACCTACTGCTTATTAGGTGGTTTGCTTAAGCCTGCATACTTCTGTGTAGAAATTATCATGAAATTTTGCGACTCAAAATGCACGAAAATTTGGCATAAGAAAAGCTCATAATTTTCAGAACAGTGCATCGCAGACATAGAAGTATATCTGAGATCAACGTTTCAAGCTCTATTCATTGGTATAGATAATTTCCCGAATCGCCGCTTGACTAAGCAAACTTCCCTTGTTAGAGAAGTATAGGCGACTCATCGCACGCGAAGAAAGGCGTCATTACACGCAGTCAGCGTCTCGCTGATCGAGCGTTCTTTTACCCCTCTTACCGTCTGCTGTCTTTCAACAAACGGGCCATCTTGGTCGGACGCAACGGCATCGTCTGTGCGTGCCATGAATCGCCTGTATCTGAAGAGCTTCAGGCTTCCTTGCGCCTCTGCCTACTTGATATGGCCTATGCCCAATTGCTCTTAAATTTTTCTTGGTAGGTTGTGGAATATATGTTTTATGTTCTAAATTCATGGCAAATGAAATAGCAAGTTTCAAAAAGGCTAACAGAGCTTAGCCCCGTTCAACGTCAAAGGCGGTGTAAGTCAGATTTTTGAGTTGATTCGGAAGTGTAGCATGATCTGGTAAATCTTCAGGTAATCTTAAACACGCTTTTGTATATCTTTCTTGTCTCTCCGATCGAAGTCAGAACTCCAAAAACTAGTAGTACACGTCCTTATTCTGCGGCAGACTTACCTCTTTCTGTTTCACGAATCCTGAAAAAGACTGCTCTGACCTGATATTTCACTAAGCTAAACCCATTATAGCTGAGATTAGATGAAAATGCAAGAATTCCAAATTGATCAGTGTAAAATACTGAATAAGATTTTCGTTGGATTTTCTTGCTTGTAAAGTAATCATAGGTGGGAGGAAAGGCTAGAGGCACGGGAAAGTCTGGAGCTCTCCAGGCACTTCTAGAAGCAGTTGCAAACCTTTGCTGCATCCTGCCTATTTCTACCGTAATACAATCCATGGTATTGTATTACGGTAGAAATACAAAAAGAATAGAGCGTCACATTATTCAAGATTACAATTTTCCGACTATTTTCTACGTCGTCGATGTCAAAAAAAAAACGTATCTCATTTTCTTTCGATGTTTTTTTGCAAAACCTCTGTGTTTCAGCATGGCCGTTGTAAATAATCCGCGTGAAATCACTACCATACTTGATTGTATCGACTCTATGGTAGATGTCCTGCAATACCTACATGAATCGCGCAGAAGACGCAGGACTTACGTTCGCCCCGAGCATGTCCCGTTCCTCGAGACGAGATTCCGTGATTTCGACGAGTATCTTTCGTCTCAGACCCCGGAATCATTTTTAGAGTACACAAGGTTGTACCCAGGAGAGTTTGAGGTACTCTTTGATCACCTCGGTGGACGCCTCCATCACGCCTCCACGCATGTGGCACCGATTGGAGCCAGGCAACGATTGTGTATTTTTCTCAGGTAAGAGACGTTGGGAAGAAGAAGAGGGGGTTGGCTTTAAGGGAAACACATAGCTGGATAAGAATAATGTAAGAAAAGTGTACACCAAAGTGTAGAAGGAACATGATAACTCATAATATCGAA